CTTATAAATATGACCGGCTTCGCAGCGATAAGAAATCAGTTATTTTTAAAAGTTAATTTACTTATTTAATAATTTACAAATTATTGCAGTAAGATATATCCCTAAGTTTATTTTTAATGATGGATGTTTTAGTTACTAATAAAGAAATTAAATTATTGAAAGTATCACATTTGATTAAAGAGAAATTTTAAAATGCTATATAGTATTGGTGCTATAGGTTTTTGTCTTTATGGTACAACTTAAAATTGTACATTTACGTTATGGTACAACTTCAGATTGTACCTATACTTTTTGTACAAATTCTTTTATGGTACAACTTGAACTTGTACCTTTATGTGATGGTACAACTTCAAGTTCTAAAGTTGTACCATAACATAAGGGTACAAATTGCTTTATGGTACAACCTAAACTTATACATTTAATGTTATGGTACAACTTTAAGTTGTACATTAAAGCACCAATACTATATAGCATAGTAGAAGTGCTCTTGATTAAAATGTTACATTAAAAAGTAACCAATTTTATATAACCTTTGTGTCATATAAATTGATGAGATGGTCAACAATTTTCATAATAATAAAGGATGTTCTTTTCAAACTTATATTATGGAAAACTTACACGATACATTTTTTTAATTGATATATAAGATATACGTATCCAAAATTGTTATAGAATCGTGTTACATAAATATACTATAATGTGTGATCTAATGATAAAATTAATCTTCGATAAGTATTCAATATAGTTGAAATCAAATAATTCAAAAAAATTGTTTGAGTAAGATACATCCACAGGTTTTTAGGTAGTATTTGATTAATTGATACATAAGAAATAATATCATTTTATAAACCTTAGGTAATGTATTTAATTGAAAGAAGTGTCAAACAAAAAAAATACTTAACAACGAATTATATAAAAAGAGCTTATTATGAAATTGGGTATATAGAATAAAAACAATTGTGAAGAGTACGGCTCGAAAAATTGATACAGGTCCAGTTATTATATACTTATATATTAAAAGGTTATATAGCTTTCATATTTAAGGGGTTGTTTGGATCAGCAAATTTAGATAGGGATTTTGCCACAATCCTTGATCATGAGAGATTTTAACAAAATTATGCGTTTGTGAAGTATAGGAATTGTGGACTTCAGGAATTTAGAAATTCCTAATTGGCAGGTTTTTAAAATAGCTGATTGCCCCGAGCTATTTCAAAATCCCTGATATATTTTTTTATTTCTTCCAACCTTATCCTTCTGTTCTTCCAACCTATTCTCCACTACAACCTATTGACTCTCCCATTTGTTCAATCTTCTCCGACCACACCCACCTCCGGCGACAACTTCGTTTCCCCAAACCCAGCAACAACTTTTCTCCGGCGTTGATTCTTCCTCCAGCAATCTTTGTCTTCCTCCGGCGATCTCTGGATTGGGCGATTTCCAGTGAATGAGTTGAGCGGATCTCTTCGATTTCTTCTCCGATTTCTATGGATCTGCGACCCTTCCGCTAGGCCTCGATAATAGACGAGGTTCAAGAGCATAGGACGTCGATTCTCCTTCTTCCTCCTCCGAACCAGTTCTTGCGACTACCGTCTGCTTCTAACCGGCGGCGACTCGAGCTTCTCCTTTTTCCGATTCCGAACTCCAGCCGGCGAAGAGAGTAGGTGCGATGATTGGGTATTCTCTGTATTGGCGATTTCTGGTAAATCGAGGCGATTCCGACAACGTCTTCTTCTTCTCAAACCCGGCGACGGTTGGGCGTTCTCCGGCAACGTCTTCTTCTTCTCAAGCGGCCAGCGGGGACATGCAGTAGCCCAGAGGGACTCTTGCGATGGATCTGACTGCTTCCCCCTTCGATTGTTGGTGGCGGATCTGACGCGACGACGACGAGAATCAAAGAAAGAGAAGGAGATTGCAGATGCCTGTGGATGCTTGCTGATGGGAACTTCTATATGTCTCTGGTGGGGATGCTTGCGACGGGAACGACGATGACCAAATCTGGTTCCTTTTCCGAATAGAGATGGAACAACACGGTGAACAATGAAAGGGCAAATTAGAAATTTGACATTTCTTATTAAAAACCTATTTTTCTAAACAAACAAGAAATTTAATACAAATCCTTAATCACAAATACCTGGGTTTTCAGTTGAGGGATTTGAGACTAAATCCTTCACAAATCCCCAAAATTAAATTCCTTAATCCAAACGACCCCTAAAAGTTTTTTGGGGCTTTAAATTCGCGCATGTAAACGTGGACTGTGGCAGTTTTGAGTCTGATCAATAATGTCTAAGACTTATGTAATATGTTTGTTTACAATTCCTTATCCTTTATAAGTACTTTTGTGCAATATATTTCTTTTGAAATTTTGTAACTATTATAAAATGTTGTTATGAAAATCTTTCAGATTGTGTGGCCTAATAATAAAATCATCAAGTTGCAAAGGATCACATTATCTTTGTAATAGCAATTGAATGTATTTATGTCAGTCCTAAAGTGAGAAGAAAAAAGAATTGAAGTGCATGCATCTTGATTGTAAAATTACATAAGTAATTTTGCACAATGTAATTGAAATTTAGTAATTGTTATAAAACGTTGTTATGTAAATCTTTTATATTGTATGATCTAATAATAATCAAATTACAACAGATCATATTTTCTTTATAATAGCAATGAAATGTATTTGTGGTAGTCCTGAAGTGGGCAGAAGAAAGAATTGAAGTGCATGCATCTTGATGGTAAAAAAAAAAAAAAAAATTGGAGCATGGACAACCTATAGGCTTGGAATTATCAATCCTTCGTGTGTTCTTTTCCTTTTTTTTTTAAGAAGCATGGTGCATGAAACCGTAATGGAGATCGTACCGGAAAAGTTAGGGGTAGGGTATTTTATGACAAAATCATGGTTTAACCGTAGTTCAACTGTTAGTACCATTAAATACCACCTGTCGGTTTAGCCTCCAATATTGGTATTTTGTGGTTGAACCACCTGTACGGTACGGTTTCATGGACCATGGTAAGAAGACGGATGCAAACCATCCCAACCTTAGATTAAAACATCACGTTCATGGGAGGTCTCCCTTACATCATAATTAAGCCAATACATGAGGTTCGGGTGGCACATATCAAGATGATGCATGCCAAAAGGAACCTCGTGACCCTTGCAAGCCAAGAAATCAGCTGTATAATTACACTCTCTATAAACATGATTAATTTTCACAATTCAATCGCGTCTCAAAAGCTCTTTCGCTTGGAGGATGATAAGGTCGTGTCTGTTGTTGGGATCACCTTCTCCTTTCAAAATACCCACCGCAGTTGTAGAATCCAGGTTGACTTCTACCTTCCTGAAGCCCATTCCCCACTCGATATGTAAACCCTCAATTTCACCTTTAAGCTCTGCCCTAGTAATGGTGGAGGCTCCCAGTGAAACACCCTAACCCGGCCGGGTACTACTTTTACTAAAATGCCCTTGATAAATAAAATACTCAAATCTTAAATTGTAGCTGGAAAAATTTTCATAAATAAAAATACTAAAAACACACACACTTGTAGTTCAAAGCAAAGCCCTAACACGTGGGCAAATTGAACTCAAACTTTAAAATCTCTATATGATCTCCAGTCTATACTCATAATCATAAATGTAAATAACTATCTCTAATGTTGTTGCTACTGAAACCTTGACTAAGCATCCTCTGTGACGCTTATAATGCTCTCCTCTAGCTGGCTTGCCTCGAACAGCTTTCTCGATCTTGATGCTCACTAACTGCCCCTCTAGCTCCTCAAACTGGTGAGTGAGATGGGGTCAGTCTACGCTCTTACGTTTTAATACTTCTAATACTTGAGTACTTTACTTAAACACTTAACTTTGACTAGTGGAAGTTGTTTGTACTTCCAAACTTAAAATATTAACTCTTAAACTTTGAGGGAGTTGAAGTTACTCTCCTCTCTTAAAACTCAAATCTTGACTGAAATGCTTGACTGACACGGGGATACACAAGGATCCCTCACTAGCTAGTCCGATTGCCAACTCATACGTATGAGAAGATATCCAGACTTTCCTTCAACTTAAACTTAGTTAGGGAAGTCGTAACGATTCATCCCCCTAACATCTTAAACTTATCGTGGTGGCTCTTCACCACGATTCTCAATGGCATAACTGCTGCCCATCTTAAAAGTCTCAAGAGCATAACTGCTGCTCTATCTCAAAGATCTCAAGAGCATAACTGCTGCTCTATCTGAAAATCTCAAATGGCAACGGACTGACGCTAGTGACTAAAAACACTTAAAACGACTTCACCTTCTTGAAGGTGAGTTACTTCTTAAAAAGAACTTGTTCTTAAACTTCAACAATAACTTATACTCGTAAAATTTCGAAGTAAATAATAAACATTCACTTCAAGTATAGCTCAAACAAAATCGCATATCATCAACCATAAGCACAATCAACAACGACAATCACTTCATCAAAATACTTAAAACTCGAAATACTTGAAAGAACACGTAAGGCGTAGAATTTACCCCCTTTACACTCACCTCTAATATGTCAAAACTAAATCTGCTCTAAAATATCCATACTTGCTCCAATTAAATTATGCTCGTTCTCACGATTCCATAGGCGCTGACGATTCCTTGTTCGGACGTCAATTGATCGAGTTATGACCAAAATAAATATTCTATCAGCTTAAAAGTTCCAGGTACCGAAATTGCAATTTTTCCAGTCAACATTGTTGACTCGGACTTCTGAGGAAAATTACGTTTTTGGTCTCTAAACTTTTCGAATTGTCACAAACAGTACCTGAATTTGTCCGACTTTCACTCCAACCTTTCGATGCTCGTTTCTCCCTCGTCTGATGTCGAAACTCCATTCCGTCAAGACAATGATGCTCCTGGGATCGTCCTCTTCACGATGATAACAACCACTCAAGGAAAATTGGAAGTAGCCTACGCCGGGATCGTGGTCGGAACCGCTCGTCTTCTCCAATGATACCGATAACAGATTCGATGGATGATCATAGCCATGCCAAGCTGCTGAACTGGGATGTATAGAGAAAATCCCCAAAGTTGTTACGGACATCAGGGCCTCTAAAGCTCAAGAAGCCCTCATACTCCATCGACGACGAGGAAGGAGCCGTGGATGTTTGTTGCTGCTCCATTGATGATTCTGACTTCGAAGAAGAAGAATCGTCCAATGGTTTAGAGCTGCTCTTGGTAAAGAAGGGTATAGCCACTGCGAGGAGTAGTCCGACCACCGCCAAGACGATTAACCACATGATCCAGCTCTTCCGATCCATATCTCTTCACCATTCTCGTTCCTCGTGCCGATGCCTTGCCGAACATGCCAAACTCCGACCTTCTCGAGCGCCGGAGCTAGCAGGTGCTTCCCGGAGCTGTCGAAGGCTATGTTCGATCCGACTGAGGCCGTCATACCGAGTGAAGCCCGAGGCTCGTACCTCAGGTACGCTATGTTCGATCCGACTGAGGCTGTCATACCGAGTGAAGCCCGAGGCTCGTACCTCAGGTACGATTTCCCCCTGTCCAACGCCGCTTAGTTTTGTTTCATGCTTCTCTGCTCTGGTCGAGGCAGCTATGGCGGCTGAGGTTTTCTAAGGGTTTAGTGATAACGATGTAATTGCACATATTTGCGCCCTTAGTTCTTATCCGTTTGAGGGACATAGTCGTGTGTTTTGGCCTATTTTACGCCGGGTTGTGCTATTTTGTCATGTTTCAGGTCCCAGGCGTCAAAGGGAAGGCTAACCACGAGTTTCGGGGCATTCAGAAGTCATTTCGTCAAGCTGGAGCCAAAACACGGGCAGCCTAAGGCATTACACGGCCGTGTTCCTGTGGCCGTGCTTTTTATGCGGAGAGCTGAGCTGATTACACGGGCAAGGCCGAGACAAAGCACGGCCGTGTTCCACCAAAGCACGGCCGTGTCCAACGCGAAGCACGGCCGTGTTTACCCCAATTGCTGGCCGTGTAATTAAGCCTTGGCCGAGACACGGGCGGAGTCAGGCAAAGCACGGCCGTGCCCTCGACCGTGCTTTGGCCACTGATGCTTTTAAGCAGATTTTCAGCCACAACACAAGGGGATTCGAGTTTTTGAGAGATATAACGATTCCTAGAGAGAGAAAGTGACGAGCAAGAGTTCCCAAGTGCCCTAGATTGATCTTCAACACCATTGGAGGCCAGCTTGAGCTTGGAGAAGTGCCAATCAACGTCCAGAAGCAGGAATCCATCCTTCGCAGTATGAATTCCGTGTCTGATTCTGCTTTTGCTTTCTTCTCCATGGAGTAGTTCTCCCATTCATCTGGGTATGGAGAACCCTAGATTTTTATGTTAGGCTTTGATTGTATGAACCCAAGTACTGATTCTATGATTTGATTATATTCAATTGAGGTTTGATTGATTGAATGGCATGAATCCTGATCAAATTCCTGTTTGTTTCTGCTTTAACCTAGAATGAGAATATCTGCCTAGGTTAATAGAGTATCCTTGATTGAAGGTAGGGAGTTGGTGACTTTAGTCGAGGAGCCAACTCACTATTCTGTACCGGATTTACTCCGGTAGTGGAGGTTTTGTTCTTAGGGCCTCAATCTGTCTACTCCGGTGGAGGTTAGTCGCCCGCTAGAGAGTCAGATTGAGAGGGTCTGAAGACCTTTAGTCGAGACTTCAGGCTGTTTAAGAACCTTCCGCAGTATAACTGTCATAGAAACTGAACTTGGTAATTACAATCCGGCTTAACTGCAGTCTAGGGGGAACCATATCCGGGTGACCTCTCTTAACCTGAATACAACTGTTTACTTGCTTTGTTAGTTTGATAGTTTAGACTTGCATTCCAGTTGCATTGCTAGATAACAAGAATTCACCGAGTAGTCATCAAATCTAGGACCCGGGTTGACATATAAACCTAGCCCGCTATACTACGCTTTAGGAAGTGGTTTCACTTGGCCAATTCCTAGGGTGACAGTAGAGTCGAGTCATTTAGCAAAGGCGCCCTTCCCTCTCTCAGTTGCCGCCAATTAGCTCTCCTAGGTTGCGATGGAGATTGCAAAGGAAGAGGGCACTGGCGGTTTTAGGAGGCAAAGAAAATGGGGGAAACTGATGGGGTTAGTGCCGTAGCGGATTTTGGGGTTTATAAATATATTTTTTAAATAATAATAATAATAACAATTATGTTATTATTATTATTATTATTATTCCTAGTCTGCGATTGTAATCCTTCGTACGTAACCGTTAACCCAACCGTTCCCGTATTTTGGTCAAACCTGAACCCAAAATTCGGGGTGTTACATTTCCTCCACCCTTATAAAAATTTCATCCCCGAAATTTGATCGGGCTCGTCCTTTCATACTCCTCATTCTCGTGCTTCTTTGGCTCAAGATTTCACTCTTTCTATATGAACTTCAATGGCGTGCCCTTACCTTGTCTTGAATAGCTTACGATAGTTCTTATATGTACTCTTGACCATAACATATATTCTCATCTAGCTTGGTAGCATCGAATAGGTTTGAGTGACTCATTGCCCTTTTCAAAAATTTCCCACTTGGGCCCAGTACTTGATGTTGAACCTATCAAAGTCGAGGTATCACACCCAGGTTGCATACAAACGCTGCCAAGCACTTCCCCAAGTTGTCACTGAGAAGGCCTCCCACAGTAGCATTGTTGTTAGAGCTCTGAATACTTCCATCACTTTGAAGTTGGATCGAATCCTCTGGTAGTGGCTTCCATGATATGAACCTCCTTTCTCTTATGATTCTCGTTCCCTGTTCAACAAAGGCAACATTCGCCACAACATTGGTGTTAATGGAAAAGCAAGCCTCAATTCTTTTGATCAGGCCCACTTCGGAGAAAGTTTTCCCGTCCATTGCTTCCTCATTCCACTGTATCCATATACACCAGCATATGATACTGAACTCCATTCCTTTGCTCTTATCTTTCATGTTGTTGACCAGCCAGGTCTTGAAGTCATGGCTAAGGGGATGGTCTGAAATTTGATCTTTGAAGTGTCTCAATACACCTTTGATCTTCTTGCAATTTCGAAGAATATGCTCCACAGTTTCCTCAGTATTGCTGCAGTGAGGGCATCTGCTGTTGGTGGTGAGCCCTTTCTTCTATCTTTTCTTGTTAGTCATCAGTCTATTGTGTGTCACCAGCCACAGAAAGTGTTTAATCTTGCTCGACCCTTTCCATTTCCAGATGCCTTTCTAGATAGCATCCTCCTCCCTCCCCAAAGCATCCGAGGCAAGGTTGTAGGCAAATTTAAGTTTGAACTTCCCATCCTTTTCCACTCCCCAGATGTGTTTGTCCTCCCCCAAGCCAAGAACAAGAACATCTATACCTGCAATTAGCGACAAGATCTCATCAGGTAGTAGATTATTGAGTCTACTCTAGTCCTAATTACATTCCTCTGTGGTCCAGTCCGCAATAGTAGAGCTCCTCTCTTCCTCACTAATATCCTGTTGCAGGAAGCCAGCAAGGATGATGTAATGATCAATCCATGGGTGGGTCCAGAAACCAGTGGAAGTTCCATCACAAACACTCCAGGCTGTGGCACTCTTCATCAGTGGCATTGCTTTAAGGACAACTTTCCACAGACTTGAGTGATTGCTCTTCTTCATAGAAACAATCATTCCATCTTTATGGTTCAAATACTTTCCTTGTAAAACCTTCACCCAAAGAGCTTTCCAACATTTAAGATGAGCCACGCAATCTTAAACATGTAAGCCACATTGAGACATCCAGCAGATTTAAGGCCGAGGCCACCCTGGATTTTAGGTTTGCAAATAGTATCCCATGACACGAGGTGAACTTTTCTCCTTCCTTCATGAGACCCCCACACAAACCACCTAACCTTTCTATCAATTGTATCACAAACCGAAATAGGGAGAGTGGCAGTTTGCATGGCAAAGGTTGGTATAGCATTCAAAACAGAGAGAGCAAGGGTACCCTCCCTGCAAGGGATAGCGTTTTCGCTTTCCAAGTAGTCAGTCTTTTATCAATCTTATCCAGGATATATCTATAAGTGTTCCTAGTAATCCTACTATGCAGAACTGGAACCCCAAGATACTTTCCTAAGTCATTGGTGGATTGGATTCCAAGAATGTTACAAATAGACATTCTCATATCACTTCATAATGTTGGGAGAGAAGAAAATACGAGATTTGTCCTTGCTAATCAACTCCCCAGAGGCATCACAAAACTCATTCAAACAAGACAACAAGCAAGTAGCCTGGAGAGGGAAGGCCTCAGCAAAAAGGACTAGATCGTCCGCAAATAAAAGATGTGAAAGAGGAGGTCCATTCACAGACAGAGTAATTGGTTTGCAAGACTTATCATTGACTGCTCTATAGATGCTATGACTCAAACTTTCAATGCATAAGGTAAAGAGATAGGGAGAGAAGGGGCATCCCCGACGCAGACCCCTGCTGAGCCTGGAACTATCCATCTCTCCTCCATTCAATAGGACTTGGAACTCCGTGGTGGTCACACACTTCATTATCATCTCCACGAACCTCGCAGGAAGTCTGGCACCAACAAGAGTTTCTTCAAGAATTCTCCAATCAAGCCGATCTTGAGCTTTAGTGAGGTCGATTTTGATCACAAGGACCCTTTCTTTCCTTTATTCCTTGTCATGGAGTGGACATTTTCCTGCAAGATAATGATATTGTCAGTGATGTGTCGATGAGGGACAAAGCTAGTTTGGTTGGGGTTGATAAGATGGGGCATAAGATGTTTAAGCCTTTCGGCTAAACATTTTGCCACCACTTTATAACTCACATTACACAAAATGATAGGTCTAAAGTGAGTCATGGAAGAGGGGTTATCAATTTTGGGTATAAAGGTAATAAGGGTGTCATTCATCCTTCTGATTTGTTCAGCTGAGATGAAGCAGGAGTTGACAAATCTGATGAGGTCGGCTCCCACTCTATCCCAACACTTCTAAAAGAAGATGGCTTGGAAGCCATCTTTCCCGGGGGCTTTCAAAGAGTCCATGTTTCCGATGATGGTTCTGATTTCTTCATGGCTAGGGGGTTGTTTGGTCTTGTTCATCATTTCCAAATCGATGCAGGGGAAGTCAGCTGAGATAGCAGGCCAGAGTTCCTTCTCATCTTTGGGGAATTGGTTGATGAAAAACTCACTATCCATGGTCCGCAGGGCATCAGGATCATCCATCCAGTTGCCTGATGGGTATTTCAGAAATGGGATCTTGTTTCTTTTGTGTCTGCACAGAGTACTGTTGTGGAAGAAGCGTGAGTTGCTGTCTCCATGGATGCACCAGTTAGACCTTGACTTTTGGATCCACAACATCTCCTCCTCCCAAAGAGTTTGTTTGAACTCAATTATGGTGTTGTTCTCTTGCTCCGAGGATAAATGCGTCGAGTTCGTCTCATTCAGGAACTCAAGGGAGTTCAACCTCTTGAGGAGATTTTTCTTTCTTTTGAAAATGTTTTTGTTCCACTCCTAAACCTTGGTAGCAAGGTCCTGCAAAGAATTTGGTAGAAGGTCGTTACCAGTCTTCCAGTTCTCATTCAGGAAAGGAAAGAAATATTCATGAGTCAGCCAAGGAGCTAAGAAATGGAAACGTCTCACCAGGTTAGTGTCTTTGTGCTGTCCTGTGGAGTAGGTAAGGATAGGCCGGTGATCAGACTTCAGCCTAGTTAAATGGGTGACGTTAGACTCAGGAAACTGTTGGTGCCATTCCGGATTGCATAAGCTTCTGTCTAATCTTTCTTTAACCCTCCCTGCAATTTTGAACCATGTGAAGTTGGGTCAAGAGAACCCCAAATCAAGAAGCCCACAGTATTCAATGCATTCATTGAAAGCCCTAGTCTTTGCATAGTTGAAGGGGGCCCCTCCCGACTTCTCAGAAGAGATGGTGATGGAGTTAAAATCTCCAGAGAGCATCCATGGAATCTTGGTACATCTCCCCAACCTTCTTAAACATGCCAAAGATCCTCCCTTTCAAAGTCTCTCGGACTGTCATAGATAGCCGAGAAATGGCAGAAAGCCTTCCTATTCCGAGTGCATTTAAAATGGATAAACTGTTTCTGTTTGTCCACCACCTCCATTTTCAGTTGCATGTTGTCCTAAAGGACCCAAATCCCTACACTGAAACCTGCGACATCAAAGACAACATGTGAATCAAATCCCATAAGCTTGATGACATCCAGGGTGTCATCACCACTGATTCTCGGTTCAAGGATGCAAACAATGTTCGGTTTGTACAGGTTCTTGT